CCCAGGTCGGGCCGGCCGCCTACCCGCAGCGGCTGGTATGTACAGGTCGACTCGTCGCACCCACGAGCAAGCCCGCCGTGCGGTGCTGGACACCGCCGAGCGGGAGGCGGCACAGCAGCGGAATCCCTCTGCTGGGGGCCCGGCCGCGGCCGCGGCGGATCGGCTGGTCAGCGGCCGCGGCCGCTGCCGGCGGGGACGCTTCCGATTTATCTGGAATTTCTCCTTTGGCAGGTGGATGTAGAATACATATAGCTTCTACATTCAATCTTTTGCGGAGCGAGATATGTAACTTTATGTCAAACTCGGTGCCATATAAAGCTATCTTTGTCGCGCTCCGATTTATTGGGCATGTCTCCTTTGGCATTTCGATATAGAATGGATATAGCATTCAAGCTCTATTTTTTGCGGGGCGAGATATGTAAGCCACTGACTGACTGACTGACTGACTGACAGCAGTGAACCCGGGGGGCTCGGCCCCCCGAATGGCGCTTCGCGCCCGGGGCCTCGCCCAAAAACGCCGATGTTCTCTCCGATAACACTGACCTAAGAATGCGCACCACTGCCGCACAGCACCAACAACACACCCTTCCCGTCTCCACCCACTCCTTCTCCGCGGACTTCAGCATGCTCAAAGCTTATTACGCAACGCAATCCCTTGGTGCTGAAAGGCGGCTGGAGACGTACACGGAAACCGACGGACAGACAGACAGACAGGAACATATCCACTAGACAAGCAGGCAGACGGTCGCCCACTTCGCCCGCAAAATTGGTGAAATTGGACTCGTCAGTCCAGATGTGCGCGTGTGAAGCGGATAATGCTCAAAGTCGAAGCGCAGCGCCTACCAGGGATGTCGGAGTTAATTAATCACGTAATACCTCACTGGGCTGCTGAAGTTCCAGGCGTACAAGCTCAAGAAATACATACACACACACACACGCACACACACGCACGCACACACACACACACACACACACACGCACTTACTTCACTAGAAAGTACAGCTACTTCGACGCAGATACCTTCTGCAATGTGCAGGCTGGCTACATGCCCGTGCCCGTGCCGTATGTGAAGCATGCACAGGTACGGTAGGTAAGCTATTGCCGGTTCTTCAGGACCGAATACGCAAAATCTATGTATCGGAATATGTGGACAGACGCCTCAGACACCGGTGCCACCTTGCTTCACCATAATCTGCAACATTACAAAGTAAGGAGCATTACAGTTCGCGAGACACAACCGACACAACCACCTCGTATGCGCGGATGCTCAATCTTCCAGGGCCATCAGCCGCTCTATTTTAGTGCGTCACCCGCAGCTGGCTGGCTGGCTGGCTGGCTGGCTGGCTGGCTGGCTGGCTGGCTGGCTGGCTGGCTGGCTGGCTGGCTGGCTGGCTGGCTGGCTGGCAGCAGCAGCAGCAGCAGCAGCAGCAGCAGCAAGAGCCTGCTCCGGGACGCAAAGGACGCACTGGTCACCTCCTCTTAGACATCCTCTTACACCGGCTGTCAATCCTGGTTCTGCCGGTTCGATGGCTCCGCTGCGTGGCGAGACGCTGGCGTGTCGGCCTGTGTCGTGCAAAGGACCACACGCACGTTCCCACGAAAGGGCAGGCGCCTCCAATAAGCCGCGCGAATATAAAATTGATTACGCAACGCAGGGGTTTCCGTACCCAGGTTTTCGTTGTGCAAACTTCTACAGTTTCCAAACTGAGAGGTTTTCTGAAGTAGTGCAGTTCGCAAAACAGTTTTGAGCAGCGCAAAGAAAAAACAGTGGCCGCAGTACGGTGTTATTTAAGTAGATGGAAAACATTGTGGGCAAAGGAAAGTACGGCAAGTGTTATTTGGTTTCGTGTTATATGGCACGGTTATAGTATGTAAGGGACGGGACAGCTCGCAGCTAAGTGGCAAGCGAGGTCTGACGGTGACGACTCCTCCAAACCGCGGCATCCCCGGGCCGCAAAACCCCCCGAATTCCCCCCTTCTCCCCTCCACGCTCACTCGCAGTTGCATCTCCAGGCAATCCAGCACCTGCCGTACGCAATCCTCCGTACTGCTTCGTGCCGTACACACGCGAATATGGTGCGGAAGAATCACGCTTCCATCGGTGCTCCATGTCCAGCTGTCGCCGTACCTGCCGTACTCGGGGTTGGGACACGGAGGCCGAGTCCCCCAAGGCATGTACACGTAGGTATAGAAACACACAATATGCACACATGCATACATACAATATTCTCCGTACTGCACTGCCCGAGGTTTTCACACCCATAACCCTCACGCATCCCCCCCCACATCCCCCTCAACCTCCCCACACTGCCCGTGACCTCCCGGGCGTACCGCCAACCCGAGAAAAACACCCACCCCCTCCCTCCCCTTTTCCCCACCTCCAATTTCCCCCCAGCCTCCCCAGGAAGGTACGACACGCATCAGGTGGTGGTAGGGCCTTATCCGGGCGTTTTAGGGCCGCGTCTTGACCCGCACGCACTCCAACGCGTGCACCTGCCCAAACCCGGTCGACCCCCTCCCCGCCTCATCCCCTCCCCCCTCAAACCCGCACGTGCACCGTACCTGCGAACAATCTCGTAAAGCTCCTCCCAGCTGCACGGCTTGTGTTCTCGTTCCGTGCCCCGGTCGCGGACACCTCGCCCCTCCAAGCGGCGACGCCACAGCGCCTCGTCACCACACTCAACATCCACAACCACAACCACGATTGCAACGGCCTTGGGCGCCGGAGCGCATGTATCCGCCGCCTCCTCCTCAGCCGCTATCGCCGTCGCCGTAGGAGGAGGAGAAGGAGGAGGAGGAGGAGGAGGAGTCGCTTGACGACTTGTTTTTTCTGCCACTGCAGCGGCCGTTACGTTCTCTTCGTCCGCCGGCTCAACTGCTGGCGGTGGCGGCGCCGCCATCGCGGCGGAAAGCTGCGTCACCGCGGGCGCCTCCGCCGCCATCGTTGCTGAAATCTGAACCGTGTTCGGAGCCCACTGTCCCACCGCCGTCGCTAATTTAACTGCCGCATCATCAGGCCCGTTTGGCGATGCCGCCGCAGCCGCAGCCGCAGCCGCAGCAGCCGCCGCCGCCGTACTGGCGGCTACCACCTGGCGCTCGGGAGGGACGGGGAACGCAGCGAGGGGGCATGGCGCGTAGCACAACATAACACAATACCTTGATGTAGCCGGTGCCGGTGCCGGTGTAATTCATCAGGCTGCTCAGGCCTCTGGTTTCCGCTGTTGCACGAAACATTCCGCGAAAGGGAATCTGGATCTGTAAAGATGTGTAAACCTCGGGACCCGGGACCCGTACTATAGGAGGAGTCCAAGGAGAGGGTGTGCCCAAAATCTGGACTAAAGGTCGGGAAGCGGTTATGCGAAGATTTATATATGAGATTTATAACTTTATGACAGTGGTCACCGCATTTATGCCGTACCCGGCCGGCGACTTCGCAAGCGCGGTCGTACAGTTCTCGACGGGCGAAGGGGCAATCAAGCACGACCGATAGACCCAGCGCCAATTGTCGCTCTGCGATTCGAAACATGACCGCGTACGACAGCGCGTTCCAGTCCACGGCTGGCGCCTGTGCGACCACGGACTGGAAACAGTCGCGTGCGTCGTCTTTGTCGACCAGCGGACATCCCAGAACGCGCGCAAGCGCCCTCGCAAAAGTGGATTTTCCGCAACCGGGCAGTCCCTAGACAAGGTGGGTTGGATGCGAAATTTGAGTTGTGAAATGTTTCTCATTCCCGCTTGAATGTAACGCATCGCAAGTGACAATTGTGCTGCTACAGGAGCATTATAAACATTTCAATTTATGGTGCTGTGCTAATGGCGCTGGGAAGCAGATGTCTTGCCTTGACGAGAATCATCAGTTGTCGGTTCCTGCATTCTAGAGAGCTTCCAAAGCATGTTTGCTGCATCGTGTTAATAATGTGAGTCCTCCTATATCACGTGTCATGCTTCTCAGCCGTATGGTAAAGCAAATACAAGTAGGCAAACAGTGTCAATTAGTCAGCTCGCACAAAGTTTCGGAGCTGCGCGTCGCGCATATACATGTCGTCTGCCTACATCGGTTAGGACGACCGTTGCTGTCGGTAGTAAATGTGAGGGCGCCGATGCTAAAGCCAGCCAATAAGGACTTGGCCAAAAATGGCGTTGACGAGGAAACGAGCGCCGTTGGTCGAGAAAGCCCCTACGTTGAAAAGACCCGAAAATTTGGGCCAAGCCAGGGCAGCACGACACAGGCAGGTGATGCCCACCCCACAAGCTGATGATTTCCCCCCCCCCCTTCAAGCTGCTGCTGCTTTGTTACATCAGCCAAGTTGCACATCACTAACCTATTGACCACATCGATATGGTAATGGGGAAGAAAGCATATCGGCCACATGTCGGGGCATGTCCTGTACAGGAACCTACGAATCCACATCATTCGCCGCAACTCCCCCCCTATCCACTCTCGACCCTTCAATTCATCTTAGGTGCCTCCCGTCCAAGTAAAAGTAACCAACAACCAACAACCGAAGCCAGCGGGAGAGTTACGACTATGACTACAACTACATAACCCATTCGCAACCCCCATACCATCTGCCCCATCATCCTTACACAATAAGCCACAACCAGCCAAGCCAACCCAGCCAAATCAGCCTACGGCCACCCACCAAAACCCAACCCAACCCACGATTTGACCTTGGCATTCCCCTTGGCAAGCATATGATTCCCACGACCCTTGTAGATGCTGCGGCGGTGGCGGCGGTGGCGGTGGCGGCGGTGGCGGCGGCGGCGGTGGCGGTGGCGGCGGTGGCGGCGGCGGTGGCGGCGGCCACGTCCCGAAAAACACCTAACCTTGCTACCCGTTTTCCTCGTTGGGGGGTAGGGGAATCCCAACCAAGCCCTCTCGTCCCTGAACGACCTCTACCCATGTGCGCGACTGGGAGAGCGTCGTGTCCTCCCGCACGTCCTAAGACGCTTGATCTTGTGAGCAAACCGGTTATAGAAAGACATTGTAGTACTGAGAAAGGGAGCGATTACGTTGCGGCTTTGCAAAGGGTCCCAGATATCTCCCCGACACACACACACACACCGGTGATTGGTAATGGCCACAGGCGACTACACCGCAGGATCACGGTATGGGGTGAGCTGAGGGCAGACGGCGGAGGGAACATACCTACCCTAACGTGCTTTGCGAGCCCCCGAATGCAGTACGTACGGGGCCCAGGGCAAGGCAAGGCAGAGGGAGACCGAGTCGTGTTGCTTGCAGGCGCGATATGCATGTAGGTAATTTCTGATTGTGTCTTCCGAGCCAAAACATCACCGCTCCTCAAGCGCCTCTGTCCGGCTCCTCCCTCCCACCCGGAAGACGGCAGAAGATATGGGGGCCCCACTATCACCACCACCATTAGATAATGTTTAGCTTTTACTTTAGTTTTCATACATCTTCATACTTAGTAGTAATCTGTCGCCCTTTTGCGGAACTTTTTCTCGAAGTCCGACGTATTAACTTCCCCCAAAAAAGAAACCCCGTCTTCCCGCCGTGCTGCTGCAAGCTGCAAGCATGTTTGTAACTTGTGCGGGATTCGATGCCGGAATGCCGCGCCGCCGCAACACAACAGGGTGAGATGCCAAGAGGAACAACAACCAGGGCGGAGGTAACGCAGTAAAGCCGGGTGCGCAGCCCCGCAGCGCTGCAGCTCGCAACACCAACACAGCCGAATCGAATCAATCCAATCTTGTTGTTGTTGTTGTTGCAAAAGAGGACGTCTCCGCCGTGGAGAAAAGGGGAGGGTCCCCTTTACACACCTCACCTCCCAGACCCAGACTGAGCATCAAAGCACACCGTCTCGGCGCACTCTGTTCTGCAGCGCAGCACAGGCGATGAGAGCACAGGCCCAAAGCGCGAAAAGCCCCAAACCCCCCTGACCCATATCATACCGATCATAAACTTAACCAACCCACTTACACCCCCCTTTTCATCCACGTCATTCTGCACCCATACGGTTTTTCAGTTCTTCCTCTTCCCCTTCCTTCTCCGCCTTCTCCATTACCTTCTTCTTTTTTCCACGACTTTTTCGCCTCTGTTGGTCCCTATCACTGAGTGACACATGGATGGCACACTGCACCATATTCTTCACCTCGTCCATAGCATCCGGCGGCTCTCCCCCGGACCCCGAGGGGTTTAGTGTTTTTCCCTTCAAACCCCCAATATCCCAATCAATCGGGGGCTCCCTGCAGCCTCCGTCCCTCCAAGCTTCTTGCTAAGAGTGGGTGTGGGCCCACCAGCCCACCACCCCCCGCCCTCGCGGATGCGGCCCCACTGCTCCATGGGGATCCCCAGCGATGCCCTCCTCTTACAAAGCCATCCTCTTACAATGCCCCTGCAATGCATCTTATGTGCTGTGTGTTGTGTGTGTGCTATGGGGCGGGGATATCCCTCACTGTCAGTCCGCGGGGTTGTTCACATGCCAACGGGACGATATGCGTAGGCAGGCGCACCCTGCACTTGGAACTGCTGCGGTTGTGGGACGTGCACAAACGTGACGGGCGCGGGCACGTACTGCGGTCGCAGGACCGCCGGCATGTGGGCAAAGTCACCGTACTGCTGGTGGTGGTGATGGTGATGTTGCTGTTGATGATGATGGTGGTGGAGGTGCTGCTGCTGCTGCTGTGTCGCCTGCGTGGTGTGTGTGTGAACACTGGCGTTGTGCTGCTGCTGCTGCGGGATGCCGTGGTGCGTGCCATGGTACGGCTGTGTCATCGGGACGACGGCCACTGATACCGGGGGCACCGGAACAGGCGTCTCCGGCGTTGCCGCCGCCGCCGCCGCCGGAGGCGGCGGCGGAGCCGCCGCTGCCGCATTGCCTGCCATCGACGTTTGGTCACTCGTGGCAGCGATGTGTTCCCTGCCGTGTTCCCTGTCGGCGCCCTCCGGTGACGAGTGCCTGATTCCCTGGATCTCCTCTACCAGCTTCCGTACCAGGTTGTTGGGCGTCAACCCCTTGTGCGGCAGCACCTGCGAGAAGACGTGATGTGAGAACGGATATAGGCTGCTTCTACAGGTCCTGGCCTGCCCTCCGGACAATCAGCAGGGATGCAGATATACAGACAGGCAGACAGACAGATAGACAGATTGGCTCAGTGCGAGCACTTCTTCTCAATGCAGTTCCGATCAGTCAGCACTCCAAAACGACCACCTCACCTACCTCGTTAGTCAAGGGAGACGTGTCGTTCTTTGCCAGCCACGCGGTAATGGCAAGTCGTTCGTAAGTGTTTCCTGTAACCAGTGGTGCAGCAGATAGCTGTATTGGTAGGCCATGTATGTATGTATGTATGTATGTATGTATGTATGTATGTATGTATGTATGTATGTATGTATGTATGTAAGCAAGTACGTCTACCAGACGAGATAAAGACCCACTGTCAGCGGGGGTTAGGTGGCGCCAGCAACCCCCTCCCCCGTCTGCCGGTTGACCATCAGGCGCATCGGGAACAGCAACCACAACATTAATGATATTCCCGCTGATTAATATCTCATACCCCTCCAACCTCCAATCTCTCCCGGTCCTCAACCCAAACACCCCCGGCCGCACCGTCCGCAGCGACCACCGGATGCACCAGAGGCTCCTGCGTGATGGGGCAGCACAGCTGTTCCTCCAAGGCCTGTACGTGATCTGTGTCCGTACAAGTGCCGCACATACCGTACAGCGCCGGCCCGAGGCCGAAACATATCGTTGTCAGGTAGGGGGGCAGGGCGTCAGGTCTCAGCTTAGGCTTGGAGGCCGAATGAGGAATAGGCAGGCGGACAGGAAGAGAGACAGACAGACACACAGACAGGGGCAGCGCAGAGCTCTCATTCTCATCCGGGCCACTATGGACAGAGGGCCCCCTTCCACCTCCGCGTTCTCCAGCAACTCCACAACAGCAGCAGCTGCAGCAGCAACATCATCCAGACCGCATTGTGATAAAAAAATTAACCCCCCTGGAGCAGCACACACAACACCCCCCATAGAGTAACACCTGCAGCAGCTGCAGCAGCAGGCGAGAGCCCAACCCTTGGAGCCCCAGGGGGACACATAACCAGCAGGAACCCGCATGTAATGTACCGATTTCTTCCGCCTATCTTCGCATATGATCCCCCGCCGGGGTAGGGGTCGGGGTGGGGGAAACAGATGCCGCTATACGCAATACACAGCCCCCCGCAGGTTGTGTTGTGACGACTTACTCAAAGCAGTCGTCAGCAGGTCCGTCAAGCTACCGGAGGCTGCGGAAACATGTTTAGGGCCCGTCGTGGCAGCGAAGAAGCTCGCGACGGCCATGCTTGCCGCCACGTCTGCCACTGCGCTATCCGGGGCCGTTGCAGCGGCGGCAGCGGTGGCGCTCCCTGGCCCGCCGGGTGACGCCGAAGCCGCCGCTGGCGGCGGCGGCGGCACCCCCACCGAGCCGTCGTCAGCGTACTCTTCCATGTACGGGGCATTCCGCTCTTGTTCTGCCATCTCCAGCGCCTGCTGATGCTGGAGTGCAGCGTATGTCGTACCAGGAAGGCTCCCGCCGCTGCTGCGCAGCGCCAACGCGGCAACGCCACCGTTCGCTGCTGCTGAAGCCGCCGCTGCCGCCGCCACCGCCGCCGCCGGCGCAGCCTGCATGTGCGGCAATAGCCCCTGGGTGTTGACGATCCGAGGAAGCATCACGTGTTGCGCGTTCGGCCTGTACGGCTCCACCGCCAGCACGTTGTTCAAGACTGCAGCGACCAAGTGCAAGTTGTACAGAGCAAGGGGGGTTGGGTGGAAAGGACGCACGGGCGGTACGTCACTTGAGAAGAAAGGAGTTGCAGCAAGGGTTTTAACATTTTTCGATAAAAATTACAATCATGATAATTTTTGCAGAGAGTTTCTCAGCAAGCAGGTCACCCTGGTGGTGAAAAAAGGAGGCGGCGGGGGTGTGGTGTTTATGTCTCGTCTACTCGCTACCTCGTACTACTACAGCCCAAGCACGCAACCCCAAAGCAACAATCACCCCCAGCTTACTTTAAACCTCCCCTACCTGCGTGTAGCTCATATCCGGGTATCCCACCCAACACACGCTCTAAGAGGGGTATGTATGACCTGCAAAGGGCACATCTCATCCGGATGTCCGCTCTTGTCCCTTTCTTCCTAGGTTGGGGGCCCCCTACGATGCGGCCTCTCTCGCCGCATCTCCTCTTCCCAAAACCCTTCCCCACCCCCCAGCACCCAGCACCCAGCACCACGACGTAGTACCCTCATCAATCGACGAACGCTACTTTTCCACAAAAAGAGGTTTAGCTTAGGGAGGTTTTTTCCAAACGGGTGTTTGTGTGTGTTGTAAAAGGAATTCGGGTTTGGAGGAGGAATAGCCCCCTCCGACACTTACTTCTCTCCCGATTTCCGTTGCGAATGGCCGCCTGGACGGAGGCCACGTCCACGTACTGAATGATGGCGTAGTGTTGGCCGTAATGGTCGCTGGCAGTGTGAACCTGCGGGGACATACGGACGGATATACGGACAGACATACGGATGGACAAGAAGGGCACCGGGAGGAGGGGAAGGTGAAGAAGCAGGAGGAGATGCGCACACACTGACAGACATACATAAGGACAGCAATACAGACAGACATAAGCACCGACGGACCGTAGGAAAGGCAGGGCGGAGAATGTGGACAGGTTGGCAGGCGGAGACGCAATAAGAAGAACGGGAATGCGTCCCAAGTCCCCCAAGTTCGAGGCACGGTCCAAAAAGGAAGAGAGAGATGTCCACAGCTCCCTGTCCCCCAGTGGCGTGCGCTCTTTCACGCAGAAGAGCCACGTTACGTTCTGTGGAAAGCCTTCCATGCAAAAATCGATGACATTAACACTTTAAATTGATAACAAACACCAAAGCTAAATCATCGCTACCTTCAGTAGCTTTCTGCTCTACGCAACCGCCGTGCAATGGAGCGAGGGGCCATCCCAACCTCATCGTAGTGTACAGCCCCACCTGGATGATCTCGCCGTACTCGGAGAACTTTTCAAAGAGAGTCTCCGGCGGCAGATCATCCGGGAGGTTCTTGATCAAGATCTTGAAACGATTCACCTGCCAGAAGTGCGGCGGAAGTGCGAAACAACACAAGACGCATCACAACACGTAACATGTCGGGTTGGGTGCATGTTTGGGTTGCGGCGGCTTTAAATTCGGAGAGTAACGCAACTCAAGGTGTATGTGTAACACTCAAAACACACACACGCACAAATGCGCGTCAGCAAGGAAGAAAATGGGCGACGTGCATGACTGTGATGGCGATGGCCCCGGTGGTTGACTAGACCCCTGGGCAAAACGGTCTACTAGTTATGGGCAAATGTGGGATATGGGGCACAGCCGGTACAGCCCATGGCCTGTCCTTATACTGTCAGGATACATGAGAGCGGGCTTTAAAACCGATACCCAATAGACCAACCCCCCATGATCTCACGCAGCCGTCCACACACCATCAACCGATTTCTGAGTCGTGGTCCAGGGAACCCAAATGGCAACGGAGCACGCAGCAGAGGGGGGAAAGCATGTGCAAGAAGAAACGAACGGAAAGAACACTGCCGACGTTCGTAAAGTATTAAGGGGGGAGGCCAATCCGGCTTGCGCTAGCAGGCACGCATTGGTAACCGTATCATGGCAGCGGTGGGTGAATGATAGGCGGGGTGAAGGACGGGCCACACCACCGGGTCACAATTACCCCCGAGCGTCATCTAAGCCTCCCCACCATTCAAAACGGCATTTTTTACAAGCAAACGATCACAGCGCAGTGCTGGGTGTACGGTAATAATTCTGTATTTTGCACTATGGAGACAGCCACTTGCTTAGAAACTTTACCAGGGGGCCCTGAATGACATCCTTGTATTCCCGATCCGAGGAGAATTGCATCCGCAGGGGTCGGCCCCGGAGCTCCAAGCTGAACCGCCATTTATCCAGAGCCGCTCTGGCATCCTGCAGTCGCAGGCGCCGCCCACAGGGCGCAGCAAATAGAGTAATCATCAGACGGCGCTTAAGGAGATGTCCCATGACGAGCCAAGAACACATTGGGTTCAGGACAAGCGATAAGCACAGGTCTACTGGCCAACATAGGCGGAGGGTGTTGGGGAAGGGGGGGTCGCGGGGTTGACCGAGGGAAGTGGGTGCCCGGAAGACGTGGTACGTCCGGATAGCGCAGCGGCAGGAGCCAGTGCATGGAAAGTCTACGTTATGACACGTATGCCTCCTTCGCCAGTACCTCTTCGTTATGAAAATTGAGGAAGGCAGACCCACGCATCTTCCCATCTGGGTGAGTTAAGATGTCGATGCGCCCTTGCTGTGGCTGCTTTAAGACAAGGTTGAGGACCTGAGGGAATACGAGAAATTTAGAAGCAGTTGGTGATAGAACGCTGGAGCACACTTTGGCTGCGTTTAAATCTGCGAACGTCTTGGTTCCGCCCGATACATGATTACAACGCGTGCATGTCTTACAAAAAATGATCTGCATATTGTCCCGACACGAGCACACTAGCGGCACGGTGGCAGTCCCTAATGGCGTCTAGGGAACAGGCGCCCGAAATGCTATGCTCACCTGCAAGACCTCAGCTTTCGGGACATTTTGGTCGATGCCCTGAACAAACAACACATGTCTATTCAGAAACCTTTCAAGACTGGTCGCCGTCTCGATCGCTTTCGAGCCCATGTCGGCTTTTCGCCCCGGAAGAAAAACCAGTGCGTGAATTGAAAATGGATTAGAGATCAGGTAAGCACCCGGAAACTTAGGAACCAATTGTCCTTGATGTCCAGTGCTCGGATGAGAGACTATTGGTACACCATTCCTGAGGTAGGAAAACGGCACGAACTACCTCGAAGTAAACAATGCTATACAGAAACATATAAAACTGTTTAATGAGCGTGCCAAGTGTTGTACTCCAAACCCCAAGCTTTCTCTGCGTTGTCGTGCGGCCCACAGCAATCCAATCCGGTCAGAAGAAAACCCAGAGTTCTTGCAGATGCTGTGAGTTGTTCTTATAGAGACAGACGTACAGTAGTTATGCCCCAAGTTTTTTTGTCACTTTTTCTACTTGCATCGGGCTTGCTTGCTCTTCAATGTTAGCAACTGCAGACTTGTATCCTGATTACATATATATAATGATATTCAATATAACGTTAAGTAGCCATGTGTCGGGCGGGGCATCTCTGGAGTTCACGAGGAGCGGTTGAGCACAGCATCCTGTCCCTGACCCTGATTAAATGCCAACCACAGTCATAATCGGCGCTGGCATTAGCGGCTTGCAGTGTGCTTCGGCGTTCCTGCGGCTTGGTCACACAGTTACCATCCTTGAGCGCGAGGAGGATGTGGGAGGAGTATGGCTTCGATATACAGCATTCAATGTGCAAGGTATACGCCTCTTATTCTTTTACGCTGGCCTCAAGCGTTCGTCCCGGGGCCGCACGATTACATGTCAGGACATGGTTGCCCTCACCCATGAGCTTTACAACTTCACGACCGGTCACGCCTTTCATCCCAGCCCACCGACACCCTCCCCTTGCATCGACCTTACCTTTCAAAGGACAAGCCAGCAAGCGCAGGTCCCTAGGCCCGACGCACTTAGGTCCCAGCCCCCTCCCTTTGCTAAGCCTCTCCGCACCGCAATCTACAGAGCGGAACTGATGCCTCTTAAACGGAAAAAGCCGCGGCACTCCACGACCCAAAAAATTTCTCCCCTCCTCATCTCCCCGTCGCCCCACGCGCCCACCAGGTCTTGCCCACAGCCACCCACACGCACTCGCAGTTGCGCAGTTGCCCATTACACCTCGAGCACACAAACACCCCTCACACAAACACCATTTCCCCCCCCCGTATCTCATCCCCTGCCCTGCATTCCTCCTCGCCTCTCACCCGTATCCCACCCCCCTCCCCTTTGGGGGCCCGGGCCTCCCCCTCCCTTTTTGAGTATCCGTCTATGGTTTCTCTCGTCAATCCTCTCTGCTTCGTCGTAATCCCTGCACACACACACACACACACCTCCTTTCCTTCCCCCCGTGTTAACTGCATCCATCAATCATATATACTCTCCCCTCCCTCCCACCTTTTTCCCTTTCCCATCCACTGCCACGGGGCAACCACGGAACTACCACCGCCACCACCGCCACCGCCACCGCTGCCGCCACGCCCCCGCGGTTCTCTATCTGCTGCACACTGGCCTCTCCCGCTCCCACGCACAGTCCCGCGGGAGTTCTTTCGCTTCCCGGACTTCGCCTGCCCGCCTGAGCTGGAACCCGAGGAGTACCCCACAGGCCGCTCCCTCCTCCGCTATATCATCGCATACGCGCACAAGAACCAGCTCTACCGCCACATCATCTTCCGAGCCACCGTCACGCGCCTGCATCGCCTCTCCGGACAGTGGCAGTGCTTCTTTGACCTGCGGACCGACCGCGGTGGCGGCGGCGGCGGCGGCGGCGGGGGGGCCCCCCCCGTAGCTGGGCGCGGAGCAGGCCTGGCCAGCGGCGGCTTTGGCAGCAGTGCCGATGGTTTTGCGATGACGCCGCAGCAGCATCGGATTACCGCGGACTACCTGGTGGTGGCGACGGGGCTGCACAGCGCGCCGTACATGCCGCTCATTGACGTGAGGCCCGGGGGGCGGTTTTGGGATAGTGATACATGAATGGTGGTGGTAGTGGTGGGAGGTGGGGTGGGGGAAAGACGAACCACTAGCGAGTGAGGCTGCTGCCAAGGAAAGACAAACAGAACTGTGACCAGTAGGCGGTTTTGAAGGAGCCGACCTCGGGATGATGTAATGATGACGACCACGGAAACCTACCTACCTAGCCGCCGAAGTTAAATTAAGAGCGGAAGAAAAGCAGTAGAGCGAAGCCGCAAAGAAGTAAAGGTAGGTGTAGAGGCGGCGAAAAAGAACTGATGACGTGAGCTGGAATAAAGGTTGCCGCCGGCCTGGCGGCGGCATTGACGAGCTTGGAACAGAACTGGCTGATGAGCTGGTAATAAAAAGCTGATGACATGCAAGTGCTCCTCCCAACCCCCCAAACACACGCCCGAGGTGGGGGAGGAGGTGGGGGAGGAGGAGGGGGAAAAGGAGAGGGCGGAGGAGGAGGGGGGGCGTGAGGAAGAGGCGAAGGACGACAAGGGGAAGGGGCGAGGGTGGGGGGTGGGGGAGGGAGGGAGAGGGAGGGAGGGGGACGAAGCACAGACGATTGAAGAAGAGATATGAAATGCCATAGATGGCTGGCTGCTCGATACGCCGCAAGATAAGGCCAATACAGCAAGGAAGGAAAGATGTTGCGTGTTACCGACCAGTACGTAGTGCCTTGAAATGTGATTTTTTGATCATCGCGACGACATGGGCATGTGGAAATTACGAAACGCGGAAGAGGCGGCCGGGACTTAATGGAAATGACTACCTCGCCGTCTGGGGATAAAGAAAAAAAAGATCTGTCACGCCAAAAAAACATCTGGAGCGCACGAGAATTATGTGCCACGCTATTTATATCCCATCTGGGAAAAGATAGAATAGAAGAACAGAAAACCCCAAGCGAAGCCGTATGTAGGTAGTAAACTGAAGGCGGCGGCGGAGGGAAACGCTGCCGCGGAAGGCGTTGTTGGAAAAGTAGTAGTGTACTCAATTTTATACGGGTTCATACTGCCGAAACGCGGTTATAGCTGCCATGCAAGTGCACCTCCCAGCCCCCTATCTAACCCGCCCCTGACCCGACCGACCCACCCAAGCCAAACCGACTAGCCGGCCGACCCCGCAGCGCGAAATGAAGGCGAAGTTCGGGCCCCCCCTAGGACTCACCTGGCCAGGCGGCACACGCAGGGGGAAGGTGGCGGGCAAAGGCAAAGGCGTGGGTTAATTCACACGCGAAGCAGAGAAAAAAGCAAAGCGAGGAAGTAAATTAGCCGCGCGGCGGCAGATGAAAACAAAGGACACATGCTAGGTGCCGCTGTGTGAAGAAAGAAAGGGAGCTAAGCGAGTGTGAAATGAGTTGGGGGCCATACGACAAGCGACGGAGTCATCTCTCTGGGGAGATGTGGCCTCGGGGGGAGATGTGGCCTCGGGGGGAGATGTGGCCTCGGGGGGAGATGCGGCCTCGGGGGGAGATGTGGCCTCGGGGGGAGATGCGGCCTCGGGGGGAGATGTGGCCTCGGGGGGAGATGTGGCCTCGGGGGGAGATGTGGCCTCGGGGGGAGATGCGGCCTCGGGGGGAGATGTGGCCTCGGGGGGAGATGTGGCCTCGGGGGGAGATGCGGCCTCGGGGGGAGATGTGGCCTCGGGGGGAGATGTGGCCTCGGGGGGAGATGTGGCCTCGGGGGGAGATGTGGCCTCGGGGGGAGATGTGGCCTCGGGGGGAGATGTGGCCTCGGGGGGAGATGTGGCCTCGGGGGGAGATGCGGCCTCGGGGGGAGATGTGGCCTCGGGGACGCAGCAAATTTGTTGTATTTGCTGAGATGTGGACCAAAACGAATGAAAATGTTGCAGAGTGCAGAGTGATGGCAGGAAAGAGCACAATGCGGCCATCGACTGAGAAGTAAAAATGGTTTAAAAAAAGNGGAGCCGCCAGCGTGAAGTGAATGGCGAATAGCAGGAATAGCAGGGGCCAAAGAGCCAGAGCAGAACTCTGTAGTAAAGGTAGGATGAGCAGCATTTTATTCAGCTCAGGGAGAGTGATGTGATGTGATGCGAGAACAAAGCGGCAGGGGATGATGTTGATGATGACTAGGGAAATCAGGCA